GACCTCATTTTACCTTAAAACCCTTCTCTGAGCCTGACCAGGGTCTGCACCTAGGGATTGGGCCTGCCCTCTGCCACCAGGGAGCAGGCCTAAGCCAGCAGGTCGTTATCTCCTGAGGGGTCCCAGACTGCGAGAGGGCACAGGCCGGGCTGAGGTACCCCCCTCCCCGAGTGCACAAATTTTTGTGCACCAGGCCTCTAGTCTACAGTAATAAAAGAGAAAGATGAAAATTGGCTGTACCTATGTGACGCCCACCAGCCAATCAGGAGTGAGTATATAAATTAACCCAACAAAGATGGTCAGTTAATTTGCATATGCAGGCACCAAGTGGCTGGGGGTGGGGTGGGATGCTTGCATCGTTGAAAATGGCAATGACGCAGGCATCTGCACTGCCCCAGCCACTCCAGGCCTCTGGGAGCCTGGGAAGGTGGAAAGGCGGCTCCGGCTAGAGCGAAGGCAGTGCCTGCAGCCGAGGGAAGGAAGGCCCATTCTTGCATGAATCTTCATGTATCGGGCCTCTAGTATTACATATACTGTATAAGTAAAGGCACAGAGGTGAAAAATACACTTAAAAAGTTTTTCCTAGAACTTGGTTAAGCTTCAACTATTTACAGCCATCACTTTTATATAGCACCCATTGCTTACTGCTATGCACAGCTCTTAAGTTTAAACTTATTGAGAGCTTATTAAGAACTGGATTTTAGAAGTTGGTTTGTGGTAATAGTTACAAGCTTGTTTATCTTTGTTTTGGCTTGTTGCAAAAATATTTTCTGAAAATGCTTCAAAATCTTTTTTTTAAGGGAAGACATTTGTGGAGCTAGAGAGAAATGTGACACATTAGGTAAGTTATTTTGTAAATTAAGTATAGCCTATATAATTGTTTACTGAATTATTTAAGGTGATGTTTAGGTTATTTTACATTTTAATCATTTTGATCAATTATCTTGATTAATGATTATAGTTGTCACTATTACTTGATTCTGCTTCTATAAATTTTAAAGACTATTAAGAACTAATATATGCCAATTACTAAATATCAATTGCTGTGCAGAGCTTGACATATTGTAAGAGTTTTCATTTATAATATATTTTTTAAATTTATCTTTGTTGTTGAAACTATTAGATGTCCCCTTTCTCCTTCCTGCATTGACTTCTTTCCATGCTTTACATGCCCCCTCCCCCCCCCGGGGCTTCACAGTACTATTGTTTGTGTCCATGGATTATGCATATACGCATACAAGTTCTTTGGTTAATCTATAATATTTTTTTCATGCAAAATAATACTTAGTAACCTATATGCAAATTTAAAGCAAAATAATAAAATAAATAGCCATGAACCCACCACCAGATTTAAGAACTAGTATTTCATCAACACTGCTGTATGGCCTGTGCTAAGTTCTATTCTGGCCCCTTGCATTTCCCAGGAGGTAACCAATAAGTGAATTTGTATGTACCATTTCCTTCCATCTTTTGAAAAAGTTTTATTAACTTATATGTAAATGTGTTCCTAAAAGAAATTGTTTGGTTTTGCTTCTTTTTGAGCTTTGTAGTAGTAGTTCATGCCTTTTCACTGCTGTATAATATTTTGTCCTATACCTGTTAGTGGATTGGCCTGATTCCAACTGTGTTCTGTTACAGACTTTACTATAAGAGCTGGGGTATAGTCTTATGATTAGAATTGCTATGTCAGTAAATGTGCTAATGTTCAATTGTTATAAGATTTATTAAATTATTTTCTAAAGTAGTTTTACTAATTTAGAACTTTATAAATAGTATATGAACTTTCCTTTTGATTATGTCCTTATCAACACAAGCTATGTTCAGATTGCTTATTTTTGCCAATCTGAATATAATATATTTTATTGCAGTAATAATTTTCAGTTCAGTGATTACTAATGAATATTGTCTGTCGTGCTTGTCTTTGTAAAAAAACACACACAATAATTGGCTTTTTATCTGTTTTGTTGTTGTTATTAATCCTCACTTGAGGATATTTTGATATTTTTCCATTATTTTATTTTTAGATAGAGTAGAAGAGAGGAAAGAAGGTGGAGGGGATGGGGGGGAGGAGGGAGAGTAGATAAACATCAATGTGAGAGAGACTCATTGATTGGTTGCCTCCCGTACATGCCCTGGGAACAAACCTGCAACCTAGGTATGTGTCCTTGACTGGGAATCAAACTCTTTTGACGCTCTAACCACTGAGAAATACTGGCCAAGGCCCTATGTTTTTACTTCATTAATTTCTGTTCTATTTTTTTTTTCCAATTATACTCCTACTGTTGCAAAAATCTTGTCTGCTTCTAATTTTATATTTCAACCGTCCTCTGAATTTTCCATTTTAATATATGTTTTTAAATTTAATAGATCTTAGTTAGCTCTTACTCAAAATCTGTGTTCATTTTGTTTACATTCTTTTTATATTTGTTCATATTTGTAATTGCCTTTCATGTTTACTTAAACATTTCATTTGGAGTAATAGTATACTCATCTCTGACAGTTCCCATATCTTAAACAGTTGAAGGCCAAATATGTGGTTTCTGCTTTCTCTTGTGTTGACTTGTTTGTATGTTTGGCAATCTTTGATTGTGAGCTCATATTTACTTAGTCTTAATCCATGAGATTAGAGGTGAACTGCTTAAAAAGAATGTACTTTCTTTCAGAGAGTATTTTCTGGTGTTTTGCTGTTACCCAAAGGGTGTTACTAACCAGGGTCCTTGACTTAATGTGGAAAATTCAGGATCAGCTACTGTACCTTGAGGCTTCTTCTACCAAGCTCTACGTCTCTGGATCATATTACTTTTATCAGCATTTGCCCTCAGACTATCTTCTATCCTTACTATCCATTGCTTACCCCTTAGGATTTAGCTCAGGTATAAATGTGTGTGTGTGTATGCATGCATATTGTATGAGAGAGGGGCAGCGGAACAATATATGTTAGATTTTGGAGGTTGCGACTTGATCATTCTTGTAAAACATGGGAAGTCAGTATTTATTAAAACGTAGTTTTTATTAATGATCTAGTTTCTTTGTGTTAGGAGGACTCTTAAGAAACTGTAATCTATAAATGTGAAAATAGATACCCGCTACTGTAATTATTACAATAGGACCTGGTTCTCTTCTCTCTGAAAACTATTCTCTGGCTATGTTAGGTATAGTATTTTATCTGTCAATCTAACAAGAATCCATAAATATATTTCTTATATTATCTATGTCCTATTTTCACATCTTTATACTAAAAATTAAATATGAAAATGTCTGCCACATCTTACTGTTTTTTAAATGATTTAATGCTAGACATTCTGGACTATATATGTAGAAGTGGGTGGTCTCCTAGTCTCCATTCATTTTTTTGGTAGTTTCCAGCCTCCCCTATGCACATAAATCATAGTGACATTTAGAAACGTAAATTGAAAATGAGAGTGTTCTTTTATTCTGTTGAGGGAAAGGTAATGATAATAATGATAACTGATATATCCGAATGAATTTTATATACAGTACTAAGTTTTACATAATTTAACTCTTAATTTCTACAACAAATCTATGAAGAACAACTATTACAATTTTATAGATGAGAATAAATGATTTTCCCAAGGTTGCCCATCTTGTATTAACACAATATATAGTATTTTATGTTCTCATCTAAAATATATGAAAAAACGACAAACTAAGGATAGTTCTTAAGATAAATACAGAATGTTGGTAATTATTGCTATATCTGCTTTTGCAAGTACTGTTGCCCCAGTCTCTGAGCATGTTTTGCAAAGTGTGTTGAAAATGGTAGTTATTGTTCAAGATGGCTGGATTAGATGACTCTGTGCAGCTTATTGCACTAACAAACAAGGGAGCCTGTATCACATTTGGGCCCATGCTACTTTATTCTATCTTTGGCCACTTTTAGTAAACCCAATACCAGCTTGAGTGGATCTAGGCAAAAACCATTAACAAGTAGCTTGGTATCATAATGCTATACATTCAGTTCGATTTTTGTTGGTCTTGACTGTTTATGGGCATACTTGAATGTGGTTTCTATTCACATGCAATGCATATTTTCACAAATCTATTATGTGACTAAAATGGCCATATTAGAATATATCCTTAAGCATGAAACAAAGTTTGAGTGGTAACAGAGACAATATCGTGTTCCAAATATCTCCATGTCCCTGAAAATAAATATATTGGAACTTGAGCCATTTGACAGGTTGAAAATATTAATGAAGACAGGGAGGACAGCAGAAATTCATGGAAAAATTTGTTCAGTTATAACTTATTCTGACAAAGGAGAAATATGGTATTGACTAAAACTGACTAAAGAATTTCACATACAATATGAATTTCCCTCATACTTTGGAAGTTTAGCTACATTTTATTTATTTTTTCTTCCTTGCTTTTGGTCTTGATTCTAAGAAAAAGTTCTTTGGGGGGGGGTGGGGAGCTTTGCCCTAGTAAGTTTTTTTTTTTTTTGGCCAGAAAAGGGTCAGAAAGAGAGCAGATCTTTTCTTAATGTTTTGTTGTTAATCTTTACCTGAGCATATTTTTTCCATTGATTTTTAGAGAGAGTAGAAGGGAGGGAGAGACAGATGCTCTGTCCACTGAGCAAAACTGGCTAGGGCTCTTTCCTTATTGTTAAAAAAAGTATTGGCGAATGAACTCAGTCTGATTTTTTCCAGCATTTTTAGATTCTTCAGTTTAACCTCTATTTCTTTTAAATCCCAACAAAGCCATTCTAATTGTTGGGATTCTTACCTTAAATGCTGGGGAAATGTCTGTTTTGAATTTTTATGAATAAGAGAATACATAGGAGTAGAGAGCTAAACACAATAGATAATACAAATCTAGTCTATATTGACATTTCTAAATGCAAAAACGTTGCAGTAAGAATATGGTTAAAAATGAAAAATTCTTTATGAAAGGAATCATTGTAGGAGAGAAGCTAAATTTACAAGCAAATATTGAAGGATAGTAATAGCAAAAACCAAGGTATTATGTTAAATTAAAAATAAATGAAATAGAGCTTGATTGATAGAATATGGATTGTTGTAATGAACTCTTATTTTGAATTTCTTATGCTAGTTTATTTTTAAAGGACTCTATCAACTGGAATTACTGTCAGCCAGTTCATACTACCTTCATCTTTCAGCAACACATTCGTTGCATGTTATCTATAATAATAAAAGTGTAATATGCTAATTAAACTGGACGTCCTTTCAGATGAAGCTGGGGCTGTGAGGGAAGCCCATGCCCTGGATGCCTGCTGGTGGCTGGAGGGAAGCCTGGGTTCCGGTGCCAGAGGGAAGCCTGGGTTCCGGTGCCAGAGGGAAGCCAGTGCCTACAGCCGGGGGAAGGAAGGCCTACTCTTGCATGAATTTCGTGCATTGGGCCTCTCGTTCTTTATATAAGCATGAATAGGTGCTAATATATGATACATTTTCCATTGCTGAAATAGTTATAAAATTAAGTTCTTGCAATAATTCTTGCAATAATCATGCTTTATTTAACATACTAGTGGCCCTGTGCACGAATTCGTACACATTGAAAGGAAATTAATTAGAAGAAATATTTTAATATGACTATTCTCCCTTTATAATAGAAGTGTCAACCAAATTCACAATCAATATGACAGATCGA